TAGGAGGAGGACCATTGGGATCCGAGGAGAGGTTAGGCCTATATAGCTCTCGATGGGATGAGACCTGTGGGTGAGGTCCACATGATTATGGCAATGCAGGTGAGACCTGGTAGAGACTGGTTGGGTCATGGTATTGGATCATGGTTTTAGTGGGATTATTATATGGTTAGTGAGTGGCAAAGGGTGATGCATCGGCTAGGGTAGCCTTATCAGTTGGACTCTCAAGAACCTGGTGGCTGGACCACGTGTGAGACTAGCAGTCTTAGCATTGGTTTGGGGATTTTTATGTCCAGGTTTAGTGGATGGTTGTCGTGAATCACAAGATTTCGGGTGAAATGCAAGTATGAATCCTTGGATCTCAGGTTACGAGTTATGTACCAAGTTGGATTTTGGTTGAGACTCATGTTGGGAATCGTAAGTGTATATGCATACGATCTTTATTACATTAATATATGAATTAAGAAATTTGTATGCCGAGGGAATCAACTGGAGGGTTCATAGTCAAAAAGGGATGTTTTTGGTTCGGATGATAGAAAAGGCCCTTGTGATTGTGCTTTGGAATGGTACTACCAGTGTGTAGGCCTGTCAAGTTATGGGACTTCAAGTTATGACATGTTCAACACTAGAAAGTTTAACTCCCAAATTGTCTCTTGTTGCTCATAGTGTTCATGGATTCGTTAACTTCGGGATGAGTCTTTTACCTAAAGGATTATCTATGCCTTCTACCAAGTGAAAATTTTCAGCAGCAAGGATCGGTTAGTGATTCTGTTTTCAGTGGAAACAACAAGATAATCAATGAATGGAAGTGTTATGATCAGTTAGAATACGAAGTGGAATTGTAATGTCAGTGTTTCATCATCGGCTGTCTGTCAGGGGGTCAGAAAGGGTATAGAATTTTGGATTTCGAGTAGAATAGTAATGGTTATTCTCCAGAGGTAGTGGAAGAAGTGTTCTCGTTGTCCGGTGTGGTTGGGAGTTAGTAAGGAGTGATTTCCAAGACGAAATCTAATTTAAGTGGGGAGAGTTGTAACATCCATTTTCTTGGATGAATCGAATTGGGGTTTCAGAGGATAAAAAGGTTGGATTTTTTAGAAAAAGGGATCCTCACGACGTGAGGCATGGAGGCTCACGACGTGAGGAGGTCTACATGAAGATTCTATCTGGGACTGAGCTTCCGACGTGAGGGTCGCTGAAGCCCAAGCACACGATGTTTTAGGGTTCCTCACGTATTTAAGCACTCCTTAACTCGGATTTAGGGTTTATTTCTCAGCCTCCACCTTCCCTTAACTTATAAAACCCTAACCCTAATCCATCTTGGTGATTTTGGATGCATTTTAGTGTTTTGGTGGCTAGAAGAAAAAGAGGAGGAGGAGGTTCTAGAGTGTTGGTTCAGCAAGGAGGATTCATCATCATCATTTTGTGCACATTTTGGATCATTGTAAGTGTCCAAGATCCAATCTTTATGAGCTCAAATGGCTAGATCTAGGTTTTGAGCTTCTTTTGCATGTTTATGTTGGATTAAATGCTTGGGATCCATAAAGTTGGCAACTTTATGGATCAATGAGTCATTCTCTATGATTTAGTCTTATGGATTTGAAGTGTGGTTATAATTTATGAATCTTGTTTGAGTATGGGGCCATTTCTTGCCATTTTGACCTAAGATGGGTTTAGGACATGGATGAGGCACGCATGTCCATCAAGTAATCGTTTTTATTGGCCTTTGGAGTCCTTGTTAGCTTCTAAAAGAATTAGGATTGAAGGCTTAATGGATTAAGAACTTATAAATGGGATTTTTAGCCTTAGAATGTTCTCACGACGTGAGACACAAGGTCTCATGACGTAAGAAGCGTTTGGTCCCATTTTTGAGCATCTGCTTGGGGATCACGACGTGAGAGAAGGCTTCTCCGGACGTGAGGGCAGCCTCATTGACTTTCCCTTGACTGAGTTGGCTAAATTGATTCGTGATGAGTTGGGATCTGATTGAGTGAGCTCTCACAACGTGACCAAAGGCTGGTCATGACATGAGATGTGGTTTTTGGGCTTTTGGGACTTATTAGGCCCTAGTTTTCTGTATGTCAGACTTTTTGGTGCTTGGGCCCATTTAGAGCTTTGGGTATCTTTTTGGAAGTTGGGCCTCCATGGATTAGGCCCAATATGGGTTTTGGGCCAATTAGGAAGTTGGGACATATTAGGCTTTTGTATGCTATTGGTGCGCCTCAGATTTTGGGCCAAGTGAGGAAAGGGTAAAATTGACTTTTACCCTGAGTGTTGGACAATCGGACTTGGATCCTAGCTATGGGTTGTGGACCAATTCTTAATTTTGTATTATTGATGATGTTAGTGCGAGGATTTTTCCGGATCGGCAGTCCGAGCTTTTATCAGAGATACTCGGCCGCTTGAGGTGAGTTACCTTCACTGTATATGTGGGTCTTATGCACCAATGTCGGCCCACTAGTTGATGTTTATAGTAAGATGATTGTCTTTGTGATAATTGCATGGTGTGCGATTGTTTGTTGATGTTTCTATGGTTATGATATTATGTGGTGGTGGTAGGGGTGAAATGGACCCGGTATCCAATTGAGAGAGACCGAAGGGAATTGAAAGCACCGAGATACGCTTGATAGTATCTGGTTGAAATAGACCGAAGGGATTGCAAGCAACCATATATGCTTGATAGTATCCGGTTGAAATAGACCGAAGAGGATTGCAAGCACCCATATATGCTTGATAGTATCCAGTTGAAATAGACCGAAGGGGGTAGGCGAGCACCCATATATGCTTGGCAGTATATGTGTATGGTATGTGGTATATTAGGGAACTCACTAAGCTTAGTGCTTACGGTTTTCAGTTTACGTTTCAGGTACTTCTGGTTCAAAAGGGAAAGGCTCGGCTTGATCACATTGCATCCACCTATGTTTTTCCAAAACTCATTGGTCTTGGGATTGTACTTTGATAATTGTTTTTATCTTGCTATAGTTTTGAATGATTGGTAATACTAAATGGTGTTTTAATGGTTGAATTAACAATGAAGTTTTTGTCTTACAATTTTTGGAATGTTAAAAATTGTGCTAGAATTCTTGGGCGCAATGTGGGATCTTTTCCATTTAAATATCTCAGGGTCCCGATGGGAGTGAACATGAATTTAAAAAGGAATTGGGCTCCGATTATTGAGAGAATTCAAAACAAACTCTCCTCATGGAAAGATAAAACTCTTTCTTTCGGTGGAAGATTGACTCTCCTTAAATGGGTTTTAGGTAGCCTCCCACTTTACTATTTTTCCATTTTTAAGGTTCCCAACTCGGTCATTGATTTAATTGAGAAATTGAGGAGGAAATTTTTATGGGGTGGAAATGATGAGAAAAATAAAATTCATTGGGTCGCTTGGAAAGTCGTCTTAGGCCCGAAAGATAAAGGTGGGCTCGGCATAGGGTCGATGGGCTCTGTTAACCGGGCTCTTTTGGTTAAATGGATCAAGGGATTCAAAGAGGAGAAAAGTGCCCTATGGCACAAAGTAATATGTGGTTCTGATAATCTTGCCAGAAAACCCTTATCTGCTTTATACAAAAAATCAATCCATGGAGTATGGCAAAATATCGCAAAGATCCTTAATGACATGGGTAAGATTGGCATTCTTATTTCATTAATTTTCGATTTCAATGTGGGAAGGGGGAACGACACTTTGTTTTGGTTTGATCAATGGGCGGGTGATACCTCCTTGTCTTCCAAATTTCCTAGACTCTTTGCTCTTGTTCGGCGAAAGTTTTGCTTTGTTGAAGAAAGAATTTGTCCGGATATTGGTGGTTGGGCATGGAAATGGCAACCTAACTGCCAGGAGGAGATCGACGAGCTCAATAATTTAAGGAGTGTTGTTGTTATTCATACCAGTTCCAACATGGAGGATACTTTGAAGGTGAAGCTTTCGACTGATGGAAGTTTTATGGTGATTAATGTTCGAAAGTTAATTGACTCTAATGTCACTTCTTCCATGAAAAATGGCACAATCTGGTTTCACACGGCCCCCCTTAAAATTAATTGCTTCATTTGGAGAGTTTGTATTAGTAGAATTCCCATAGCGTTTGCACTTTCTCGTCGTGGGATCAACATAAGTGATTTATCATGTCGTGGTTGTTTGGAGGGTGTAGATGATGTTGATCATATTTTTGTTAGGTGCCAGTTTGCTATTGATGTGTTAAGCTGGATTTAGAATCGGTGTGCCATCGTCCTCCTTCTTGGGAGAATTGCCCTATAAAAAACAGAAGGTCCTTATTTCCATTGTGTACGGTTTCGTTTGGTGCATTTGGAAGGCGATAAACAATAATGTTTTCAACAATGTTCGATCTTCTCCGTCTAAGGTGGCTAATGATGTGTTATCTATTGTTTACAATTCGGTGAAATATAAGGGGGTTTGGGAATTGTAACTGGGTGGTTTGGTGTTGTAATCCTCTTTGGATTGTGTAGTTGTTCTTTTTGGCTCCTGCATAGGTTCTTGTGGTTGTTAATAAAAATCTCGCGGTTTAAAAAAAAAACAATAATTATTTACTTTTAGTAGTTGAATATTAATTTTTTTCTTATGGAAATTATATTATGTGAATTTCTAAATTTTTGTTATAGAATAGCAACATATGTTTCATAGATGATGGACCCTAGGTAATTAAAAAGAATAAAAGTTAGCAACTTGAAACTTTTCTCCGTAATGACAATTAAAGACGGATTTATGACAGATTTTATTATTTTAATGGCGTTTTGAGAATGAAAAATCGGTTGTTAATGCGTGGTAACCTTCACAAGTCCCTCGCTAGTTCGGTCGGTAACAATCAGGGATATTGGTTTTATGGGCGTTGCTACTAGCCATTATCAATCGAATGTCCGATGGAAATTTCTGTCTCTCATACCTGTGTTTCTACTAGTGTATATAGGAGGGTACTTAGTTCCAGTAAAATCATGAAAATACGAAGTATCCAAACAAAAGTTATTTCTCTGTCGACTTAGATTAAAGCATTGTTCATGATGTTTGTGATCGGGAATTGGCTTGGTTATTGACATACTTGTTGGAGGCAGCTATATACAAATTTACAAGTGAAGTCTACGACTGAGTAAACAACATCAATCACTTGATGAAATTATGATGTGCTGCAAATTCGCCTTCGGATGAAGACTCCGAGAAGTTGTAAGCCTCAACTGGGGTGTAAAATGAAGTCGAACCCACAACACCAATATGGTCATTGGTCGACACGAATGCTAAGTCAGTGGCTTGAGCTATTGGATAAGCATGTCCCCCATACATCCCCACCGTCATTATCTGACTCCTTGGGTACTGATCCACCATATCACCTATTTTTCAAGAAGTTATTTTTTGAAACAAAATAGAAACCAAAAAAATGCATGTAGATATTGTTTTCTTTTATTTTGTAAGCAGATATAAAGAGGAGGTAATGGTGTACCTTGTGTTAGTCGTGGAGTGTCATTCAAAAGACCATCAACTATTTCTAAAGAGTCCCAAGTTTGATAAGCCTCTCCAACAAGTTTATGGATAAAAACCTGTAAAGATAAGGAAAATCCATATAGTCAAATGTAGCAGAATAGATAGTGTTACAACAATTGTTCACACATATGGCCGTTGGTATAATAATTAGTGGTATTAAATTTGGGATAATTTGACAAAATGAATATCTATAAACCAAATTTGGTATCGGCATAATTTTTAAACAAAAATACCAAAGTAATCATACAATGATATAAACTGACCTTGTTTAGGGTAGCAAGGTCTTTGCCGGTGAAAACGTCTCCATTGATCACGGCTTTGACTACTTGACATATAGGATTCAAGAAGATCGTATGATTGGGTCCTCGTGATATATATAGTTTGCTCACAAGAATACAAGTCCTAGCATGTTTTATAGTTACTTCCCACATCTTATCGGACATACCTAGCCCTAAAATCTGTAAAAAGAATGACATCAGTTCAAGAAACAGATGTAATTCAGTTACAAATATATGTATCGCCTAACAAACACTCTATATGTACTACCAAAAATGAAAACCGAAGTAAAGACTTACCTTTCTAAGCTTAGATTCATTGACAACCGAAAGCTTTAAGAAATCTTGCACGGTTTTGATATCATTTGAAGCGAGTTTCTTATGGAACGCACCATCTTTTCCAATCTTCTCTAAGCGCCAGACATCGTCTTCAAGCATCGGCGGGTGATGCTTCTTGTACACTAAACATTTACGCAAGTAAATAATCCAACATACAATATTTAATTCTTCTGTGCATTTGTCAACATGTTAAATACAGTGCGTGCTTCTACGAGAGAGAAAGAGAGAGAGAGAGAGAGAGAGAGAGAGAGAGAGAGAGAGAGAGAGAGAGAGAGAGAGA